TTTAAGTCAACACCTTTTGATTATGCTATGATCATGCAATGCAAGCATAATAAACCAATATAAACAAATTAGAGCAAAACAAAATGTATGAAAAATAAAAATGAGAAAGGAAAAAATAAATTGGTTAGTACCAATTAAAAGAAAAAAAATCCTATCTATCAAGGTATAACTCCTAACCTCATGCTTTCTAGTTCCATGCTTTGTTTGGAAAAATTAACCTAACTGTATGGTTTCTAGTTCGCATGCATTTATTCAGAAAATAAAATAAATTAAAAGCTAGAGTTTATTTCTCCTTTGTGTACACCTACGGACATGGCTTCAGTATTATCTTAAATTAGGAGGAATTTCTAGGGTTTATTATATGTTGGGTTTCAGTTCTAGGAGTAAAGGTACTCGAATTGTCCTTGTTGGTGCCCCCTTAGGCTGCCAAACCCTCAATCCTAGTCCATCACAGACTTAAGCGGATCGAGTTTAATTTGAGGGGACACATTTCCCTATGCCTGATACGGAGAATAAATTCTCACGAAGATATAGAGCATATAAACCCCGAAAACTACTTGCTAGGTCTGAAACGGAGAATAAATTCTCACGAAGATGTCGCTTTCACTCCCACTTAAAAGGGACAAGCTTAATTATAAAGCTTATGTTATGCAATGCATGTGTTGTGTGTGAGGAGAAATATTCAAACATTTGAAAAACAAATAAAAATGAAATTTAATAACTGAAAATAAAGTAAAAACAATTAATAAAAATAATATAATAATAAGTATATATAATTTTGAAAAGAAAGAATTATGAATTAAATATATAAATTTTTAATTTCTAATTAATAGAGACAATTTATAATTCATTTAAAAGCTTGATCAGTCCCCAACGGAGTCGCCAAGCTGCCGTAACCGGTTTTCGCCTGGGCACAAATTTTTTACTTGGTGGAAAAACTAAAATGAATAAATAAATAATTTTGATTAAAAATGTTTTGGGAGTCGCCATCGACCTTTTTGGGTTAGGTAAGTTGAATACCTAAAAATTATCTTTTAAAGAGTTTTTAAGAAAACATCAATTAAAAAATAAAATGGTCTGCGTTTAACCAAAAATTCACTCTTTTTAATAATAAAAAGGGATTCGTGGTCGATTACGTTTGGGGAAGGATTAGCACCCCACAACGCCCAAAATTGGTACTCATTAATTATAAATTGTCTCTATTATTGGAAATTTAAAAATTTAAAAATATATTTAATTTATAATCTTGTTATTTCAAATTTATTAATATAATTTTAAAAAAATATATTAATAATATATTTATTTACTTAGAAATATTAGAAAAAGACTTCTAGGTGTTTTAAGACAGCCCATTTCTTAATATTAAAAAATAAATAAATATTAATAAAACATTTCTCTAAATATAATTAAAATAAATTAATATATATAATTTATAAAAATAGGATATTTATTTATTTAAGAATATCAGAAAAGGACTTCTAGGTGCTTTAAGACAGCCCATTTCTTAATATTAATATTAAATAAATATTATGAAATTATTATATGGTATTTCATATAAATATTAGTGAATAAAATATAAATAATAACAAATAAATAAATAAAGTACTAATTTAAACATATCAAAAGTAATAATAAAAACAAAATAAAATTGCAAATAAATAATGATAAAAGAAATTAAAATTATAAACATTAAATTGCAAAGTATAAAAAAATTATTGAACTATTAGGGATTAAAATATATAAAATATATAAATTAATGGCTTAATTCAATTTATTATAAAAATATAATTACTAATAATGTAATTATCTCTTAATTATTAATAGGTGATTAAAATGTAAAATATAAAATCTAAAGGCCTTAACTTGAAATATCATAGAATTTTAATACTAACAGTGTAATAATTAATTAATCGGGATTAAAATAAAATTAATTAAAATTATGATGTACTAAAATGGATATTTATTCTAAATATATATAAGTATATGGGTAAGGACTATAAATAAATAAAATAAAATTTACGAAACCAAATTAAAAAGATCAAAAATTGTTCTCTGTGACTAAATTGCAAACTTACAGAAATACATGTATTGCAGGAAGGGTTTGCTCCTTAGTGAAATTACGCACATACCTCTCCCAAAACGGCGTCGTTTGGTAAAGGGTATAAATACCCTAAAAACCGGTCATCTTAGGCCATTGCTTTCATTTTTTTCTTTCTTCTTCTCTCTCTAACTGAGAGAGAAAATACCTTCTCTCTAAAACGGAGAGGGGACCACCGGCCAACAGCCGTGATCCGGTACCGACCACCATCTCCTGCCACCGTGAGCGGTGGCCGGAACTCCTAAATTATCCCAAAATGTAGATCTCGTCTTCCTAAAGACGAATCTGACCTCTTTTTCCCTTAAACATCCCCGAAATTACCTATATCTACAGAAATACCCACGGTATTTCGGTTGTTTTTGGCTGTGCGTGGAAGTTCTGATGGCCGTGCTCCTCTTGGTAAGTGCTTCTCTTCTTCTGGTTTATGTTTCTGTTTATTTCTCGATGGTTGCTGGTCTCTATTTTTTTTGTTTCTCGCTGTTGGTTTTTTTTCTCTTGGTTGCTCACGGGTTCTTTTTTTTTCTTTTTTTTTCTTGCAGAGGATGGTGGCTTTTATAGCCACCATCGGTAATGGCTTCGGACCGGTCCCAAGGAGGTGGCCTAGGTGAGTCACCATAGCTATGGTGGTGACTCACCATAGAGCTTGGCGTGGGCGGCTGTCATAGTGGCAGCAAAGCTTCTGGAGTCTTCTGGCGAGGGCGGTGGCAGCTGGAACGTCAGTGGACAGGTGGTGGTAGCAGAATCGTCAGCTGCGTGGTGGCAGTAGGCTCAAACATCTGGCAGAGGCGGCTGGAATCTTGAGGTAGGGTTTAAAAACCCTAGTTGTATCACGTTGGACCTCCTGTGGATCATTGGATCTCTCAGATCCAACGGCTGAGAGATGCGGCGACTGTAAGCTTGAAGAAACCCTAGGTGCATTAGGGTTTTGTCTTGGGCCAGTTATGATAGGCCTGGTTTGTAAACGTTGGGCCACCAGATTTGTAAATGTATTTGGGCATGTATTTTATTTAATAATAATATATAATATATATGATATTAATAATAATAAGAATTTTACTAATAATAAAAGTAAAATGAAAAATTATTGTCTACATGTATGCTAGTTATACGAAATATTGTTTAGCATGCTACTTGACGGAAACTTGACTTATCAATTCAGTTTTTATGATTTTATGTATTTTATATGATAAATCGTATTTTGATATTATAATGGTTTACTCATGTTTTTGAAATACCTTACTTTATTATGCCTCACTAAGTGTATGCTTAGCGTGTGATAATTTTCACGCGTAAGTAATAGTGTACGATCGGAGTGAGGGGTGTAGCTGACATTTGTCAAGGATTGTCTCATCAGTAACAGTATGACATCTCTAGATGTTTATTTTGATATTACTAGTTGGCATGTATTTAGACATATGGTGATACTCTGATAAGATACTTGGTATTTAGTTGTAGTATTATATTATGTTCGAACTTAAACTATTGTTTGATGGATTTTAACATTATATATATATATATGTGTATGTATTTGAAGAATGTTTTATAAACTATATTATTAAGTTGTTTTATTTAAAGAAACAAAATTTTACCGGTTTCCAAATACAAAAATATTTTAAAAGTTATGTGACATCTGTGACTCGTGTATGGGACGTGTGCGGGAAATGGGTATTACAGTAAGGATAGAAGACTATCAAATAAGTTTAATCTCAATAGGTCTTTATGTGCTTAGCCTATGAGTAGCCTCCTTTACTGTACGACTTAGACTAGAAAATTAAGAAAATAAAATTAGAATTCTCTTTACCAAAATATATGTTTTTTTACGTGGTATTAGATTAGGTTTTTGATCTAGAAACCTATCTCGATGAATCTTTCTTATTAGAAATCAATTTTGGATCTAACCTAAATCCCTCTCAAAACATTATCATTTACCACAAGCTTGAAAGCAATAATAGCAAACTTTTCAGCAAAAAACAGGTCGAGGGATTTGAGAGGTAGTTTTTCTCTTAAGGGTTCATCTTGACAGATTGTTTTTTTTATCAGGAGGCAATCCATATTCACCACACCAATTGTTGATGTGAGAAATGAGGTGTTTATGGTTTTTGGCAGTCCACCCCACCCTTCTGGTTTGAGTAGAGTGTCGTAGACAATGACTGGTGGAAAGGAAAAAGAGAATAGACGAGATGAAGAAGATAATAGAAAGAGTGAGAGAGTGTCCCTCCCTTTTCTCCAACTTTACATCATGATTTATGTACATGTCTTTAGTGTTGTTGTCAAGCCTAGAATGATAATAACTATTTGTAAGCTGACATAATAAATAAATTTGATTGTCATATAATAGATTTAACTAGTAGATCACGTAAACATATCATTGATCATGTCAAGAGACTATAGTTGACCAAAGAATACAAAACTCCAAAAGCTTCAAGGAACTACGAAGGTTTCAACATTTCGATAGACGAAAGAATAACATGCGACTTGCAAAGGTCTGAAGGAGATACAACAAGATTCATAGATTTTATAATCTAATACAAATAAAAAATAGTTTTATTCGAATTCTAATTATAAAACATATAAATATTTTTAATATATTTTTAAATAATAAACAAAGGTTTAGATTCTACTTGATCAAAGCTTGGATATAACATAAACACACGAGTGTGTATATAATGTTTTGGACTTAATCTGACCAAAGAATATTCAAAGTACAATGGAACTATCGATCAAAGCCTGCAAGAAGGAGTAATGCAAGTGTAGGGGATTGGATGAATTCTAACGAGAACCCAACTTTCAGCGAAAATTATGTCAATTTCACTTTCACTCTTTTTGACTAAAATCTTTGCATTTCCAGTAATTATTCATGCACCCTCATCCCTCAAAGAAAAGGAATCATCAAATATAGCTTTTAGCAACCTGATACTGCTTCTTTAACTCTTCAATATCATCTTCTTAGAAGATCAATCATGTTTCTGCAGCGTTCAAGATCATTCCTCATGATGTGCAAACTCAAAAATGGAGGTATAAATGTACAGTAAGCTTGGTAAATATGCTAACAGAAGTGCACAGAGTGCAGAACCAATGACTTATGACTCAATTTTCAGTATTGTTATTCATGGTAGAATCAACCAACCGGTTCTTCAATTGAGAGGTAGAGGCCGTGACTCCAAAAATAGCCTTACTGTTGAGTGGATTTCAGAAGGTTCTGCCATTGCATCACCGCCGGGGATGAAACAAACTCCGAGTTCATCAACTGACATTAGATGTTTTTCTGTGAAAGGGTTTCTCCACGTGAACGTGTTCATACCTGTTGCGATAAACATCGGCTTGCTGTAGTCCCAAGCTCGTACAACGCAAGTTAGCAAATTGTCACTTATCCCCCCTGCAATCTGCAATTGCAGGTATTTAAAGCAGTGTTTACAATCCCATAAGATGCATGTGAAATATTCCTTGTTACTACTAAGTATAAGCTAGTGCTTGAATGACAATATAAAGGACATAAAGGAATCAAATAAGTAGCATCTCTCCACAGCTAAATAGGGTACATACTTTCAGTCATCCTTTCCACATTCCCTATGTTAATTTCATTAAAATGTAATGCAGGAACAAAAAATATTTCGGAAATTGGCAAAATCATGTTACCTTGGCGAGTGTGTTAGCGGACAATGGGGCAATGACTATGAGATCAGCCCATCGACTAAGCTCAATGTGAAGCACCTTGTCACCTACTTTTTCCCAGCAGGACCATTCGTACTCATCTGTGTAAAGGTCTACATTCTTAGGAAGTGAAGCTATGTCGATGAAACGCAACGAGGCGGGTGTGGCAACTGCTTTTACTTCGGCCCAATCGGAGAAGCATTCACAAATTTTCGCAAACTTAATGGCAGCCACACTTCCGCAGGCAGCAAGTAATATCCGGGGTTTTCTCAGTGCAGGGTTGATAGGTGCTTTTCCATTCTGTGTATATTGAGGTCCAGGGTGTTCCATAACCTACACCAGAAAGTGCCATCGCATTCTTAGAAACTCTTCAATTGCATGAAAGTAGACCTACCAATGAATCAATCTACTTGTGTCGATAAATATGCAAAAGAAAATGAAGTCAACTGAAATATAAATCTACCATTGCACGAATAAAAACCCTGCAATTCCCATAAACAATCACAACCTTCTTGAATTACTGGAAGCCAATAGGTTGTGCTTTTGATAAATATATGATTCATAGACTGATTTTTATGTTGACATTTGAAAATAGCACCCAAAAAAATCGATCTTGAGAACTAAAAAACCATCTCCACCCCCATTTTTGGCTCCATAATAAATCTTGTTAATTGATATATGGTTACATTGATATTTTGGTCAAATCTACGAGCATTTCTCCCTATTCAATGCCAGAGGATCGAAGAAATTTACAAGTAATCAAATTTTCAAGACTCTTTCTAGTTAAACCTACAAGTTATGAAAATCCCAGAAAAAAAGAAAGTGAAACCCACCCATTGAATCATGAGTTAAATAACCCCAAAACCCATTCCCACAAGAATCGTCAAAGTTGCATTATCTTGAGTCGAGACTTAAAACCCATTTCGGAAATTCCATGAAACGAAACGATTATACTTGACGAAGACCAAGCTAAAATAGAAAGTACCCAAGGGATGCTAGCTTTAATTTTCTTTACGTAGAAAAAAAGAGATTGGTCACCTGGAGAATCTAAGATGAACAAAGAAAAAAACAGGATCTGCGCTCTGGTGTTTCAGAATCTTTAGCGACGCCAAACAAAAAGAAATGAAGAAATCAGCTAAGTGTAGGCTGGCAAAGAAGCGCGAGAGTGGACCTTTAAAAAATGGTGTATCATTTGCCATATGGGTTTTCTCACTTCTTCATTTTCCCTCAAAGAAAAACATTGCGTTTTCCATGGTTGCCCGCCTCTTTTTAGTCTTCTCACGTGTTGATAGTCTTGGACTTATCACGATTAAAACCCATAAATTTACTTTCCTACGTAGGTTCAATTAAATGACCCATTGATATAATTTAGACATGACTAGAAAGAGTATGATTTTTTTTAAAATTTTAAATTTAATCAATTATATTTATGAAATATGTACGTTTTATCAATAATTAATAAAATTATAAATACATAATATCTTATAATCAATCTAATTATTAAAAAGTTGGAATAAATTTTTTCTTTCACTTTTATATGCCCCTATTATGTCTCTCCATTAATTTTATGACACGTGGATAAGGACTTTTGCTAACAGAGGTTTCCGTTTATTTTATGTTACTCAATTGTAGTTTACTTATTCACTCAAATCATTTGACACTATTGTTTTTGTTTTCTTTTCCTTTGTTAGAGTACACAAATGATTCATTATTATAAGATATTATTTTATTGAGTTGTTAATTTTAAAAGTTATAAAATAGTCATTTAATTATAAGATATTATTTTGTTGAGTCCTTAGACTATTAAAAATTATAAAATGGTCATCCAACTATTTGTTATATTTTAAACTCATGATTTTTTGTTAAAAAATTAATGGTTGTCTGAGCTAGATGTTAACATGTGGACTGAAATATGATAGTCGTTTGAGATTATGAGACCAAATTTTATCATATTTTAATCAACAAGCTAACATCTAATATAGACTGTCATTAAATTTTTACCCAAAAATGACAAGTCTAGAATATAATGAATAGTTGAAAGATAATTTTATAATTTTTAATAGTCGAGTGACTCAACAAAATGGCATCTTATAATCGAATGATTATTTTATAACTTTTAATAATTAATGAATTCAATAAAACAATGTAATATAATCAATTGATCATTTGTGTATTTTTATTGCTCGTCTTTTCTCTTGTCCAGCACGAAAGCAACCCTGAAATAGAGAAAAGTATGAGTAGCAATCAATGGAGGTAATTTTATTAATCATATCAATGTCAAAGTAATACCAAGATTTTCTTTTCCTGACCTCTAATTTCATAATTCTATCAATTCTAACTTATTCAATTTCTAGGTTTTTCACCTTCAAGTTAAAATAACGAGTTTTATTTTCATTTCCATTTCTCTTTTTTTTTTTAGCCTTTTGAACTTTTTTCATCGTTTCAAATTTGAAGCATTGGTTTTGTGATACGAGTACTGAATCAGAATTGGACATGTAATTTTTTCAAGTTATACATTAAATTTTTTGAGAGGCTGCTATGTGTTTGCTGAAATGTCTAAGTGAATTATTTGACTTATTCTGAAAATTCTGGTTTTGTAATTTCAATTTTTTATTAAAATTTTAGGAAATAAAGAAAACTAAATTATGATCTGAATGGGATTGGAAAGAAGAAATGAAGCTCTAGTCATGCTTTTGGCTCACACCCTTCTTCGTTGCCAATGGAAATGATGAAGATAACATGTAAAGTTATGTTTGGTTTTGATCCTTTCGAAAGCTCTAAGATAGAAACTCAAGATTTAGCAAAAGAATTACAGTGCTGTTGGGAAAAAATTATTTGATAGATAACAATAGGGGTGTGTATTATTGGATATTGTAAATTATTCGATCTAAAATTTTAGATATTCAAAAATTTGGATAAAATTATTTGATAGATAACAATAGAGGTGTGTATTATTGGATACGTACATTATCCGATCTAAAATTTTAGATATTCAAAAATTTGGATAAAAAATATTTGATAGATAACAATAGAGGTGTGTATTATTGGATATCGTACATTATCTGATCTAAAATTTTAGATAATCAAAAATTTGGATCACTAAAATTACGATTTATGTTCGATCTGAAAAAAAAATCAGATATCTATTTTTTCGAATATCTGAATTTGCAGATCGTATATTCAAATATATGAATCTGAATCCAAACATAAAATTTAATTTACAAAAAATTAAATATATGGATGTTTCCTCGTTTTCCTATTGCATGTTTGTTTATTTAACATACATTATGATATTGGATGCCCAAACTGTCATTTCCTGTTTATTTTACTTTCAAAATGTATTGTTGTTACTTAACACTACTGGAAAGTAAAATACTGTAAATCTGTAAACAACGAGTAAACGATAAATTTTAATTATTTTCTTATTTAATCAAAACCTGCTACAATACAAAAGCAGCATCTCTTTCTTCTTTTCATTTTAGCTATTATTAATTATTTATGAACCTTATGTTGCGGAAGACGGCTATCGGATAGATCAAAATCGCAATTGATAATTTGAGAAAATAAAAATGAAGATGAAAGATACACAAAATTTACGTGGAAAACCCCTAAATAATACAGGGTAAAAACCACGGACAACGGTAGAAGAATTTCACTATGAGAAAATAAGAATTACAACTTCTCTCGATCTACCAAGGAGAAAACAATGATAATTCTCTCTTGATAAATAGGAGAAAACAACTCTCAAGAAACTCTCTAAATTCTCTCTAGTATTGGAAGAAAACTAGAATGCTTTGGGATGATTTTGAATCTAAATGAGCTAGGGTATTTATAGTTGAAACTTAATGACTAATCTTGTAAATATCCTAAAGTCTAATGGCTAAATTTTGTGATTTTACCACTTCAAAATTCAACATTTCCTGCACCTAATTTTTGACAATTAATTTTGTTACTTTCGGTGGATTTGTTTTCCACATTTTCGGTGGATTGTTAACAATCTCCCACTTGAAGATTTGATTGGAACAATCACATCTTCACACCATTCTTTCTACCTTGTACCTTTATGTTGCTTACGTCTCTGACAGGCCACAAGAGGATCGATACCAAGTAAATTTATCGGCATTTATCGCCTTCGTCATGAAATCTGCTATGTTGTCTTTGGTATGGATCTTCTGCATATCTACCGTCCATTCTTCCACCTTTTCACAAATGAAATGATATTGAACTCGTATGTGCTTTGTCCTTGAATGAAATGCTGGATTCCTTGCTAGATGCAAGGCGCTTTGACTGTCACAAAACATAGAGACATACTCTTGATTGTGCCCAAGCTCCTCCAATAGCATATTCAACCAAATTGCTTCTTTACTGGCTTGTGTAGCTGCTACATATTCTGCTTAAGTTATGGATGTAGCCACAACTGACTACAATTTTGAAACCCAGCTTACAGCTCCACCAGCAACTTTGAACACATATCCTGTAGTATATTTGCTTTTATCCAAATCCCCTGCATAGTCAGAATCGACATACCCATTTATAAGTAAGTTTGATCCTCCGTAACATAATGCAATATTTGAGGTCCTTTTAATATATCTAAAGATCCTCTTTACTGTATTCCAATGCTCTTTGTCTGGATTCGCCATGTACCGACTAACCACTCTCACTGCTTGTGCAATGTCTGGTCTTGTGCATATCATAGAGAACATTAAACTTCCCTAGCCAGTTGAATCATGACAAGATCTTCTTCAAGTAATTCTTTTGTGAAAGCCAAATCTTCCTATTACTTCTATCTTGGTGAATTTGCATCCCTAGAATCTTGTTTGCTGATCCCAAATCCTTCATTTCAAATTCCCTAGCCAGTTGTGCCTTCAATTCTTCAATATGATCTTTGTTGGGTCCTGCAACCAACATGTCATCCACATACAACAGCAATATAACAAAATCGTTATCACCAGACCTCTTGAAATAAGCATAAGGGTCTGCATTAAGTCTGTTGTATCCAAGGCACATAATGAAGGAATCAAATCTCTTATACCAACACCTCGGTGCCTGCTTTAGACCGTACATAGATTTGTTCAACCTGCAAACCAAGTTCTTCTTTTCTTTTTCTTTAAAACCTTCAGGCTGGAGCATGTAAATCTCTTCTTCAAGATTTCCATGAAGAAAATTTGTTTTAACATCTAACTGCTCTAGATGTAAGTTCAATGTAGCACACATTTCCAAGACTACTCGAACTGTTGTTAGTCGAACCACAGGAGAAAAAATTTCATTGAAATCAATACCTTCTTTTTGAGCATATCCTTTGACCACCAGTCTTGCACGATACCTCTCCACTTGATCGTCACCATTTCGCTTGATTTTGAAGACCCATTTGTTACCAATTGGCTTCCTTCCTTGTGGTAGTTGCACAAGGTCGCATTTATTATTTTTATGAAGGGCTTCGATTTCTTCTTGCATCGCCATCATCCACAGTGAAACATCTGAGCTGTTTATTGCCTCCTGGTATATTGATAGCTCACCGTCCTCTGTTAAAAGGCAGTATGCAACATTTCCTTCTATAACATAATCTGAGTGCCAATTGGGACGTCTTCTCACATGATCTGATTGACGAGTTGTTAGAGCTTCAGAACTCTCTGGTTCTTGTTCATCATGTTTTGGTTCTGCTTCAGAAGAATCTCCTTGTTCAACCTCTTTTTCCACATGTATCTGTGTAGTCTCTGACTTTTCAGCGCTATCATCATCTTCTTTTCTTTGTAGCTTATCTTCTACAAAGATAACATCCCTGTTGATGACTACTTTGTGGGCAGTGGAATCCCACAAGCGATACCCCTTGACTCCATCAGCATACCCCAAGAATTTGCATTTCCTGGATTTTGGATCCATCTTTGAGATTTCTTGGGAGTTGTACATCATGTACACAATACTTCCAAATATATTGAGGTTTGAATAATCAGCTGGTTTACCAGTTCACATCTCCATTGATGTCTTCAGCTCTATTGTAGTTGATGGAACTCGATTCACCAAATAATAAGCATTATTGACTACTTCTGCCCATAATGATTTTTCTAGGCCTGCATCCCTTAACATTGCTCTTGTTCTTTCTAACAAAGTTCTGTTCATCTGTTCCACCACTCCATTTTGTTGAGGAGTGTTCGCCACTGTGAACTGTCTTTTGATGCCTTCTTTCCTGCAAAAGTCATCAAATTTTTCGCTTGTGTATTCTCCTCCATTATCTGTTCTGAAACACTTGATCTTATGTTCAGAATCAAGTTCCACCCGCGCCTTTAAGTTTTTGAAAGTTGAAAACACGTCTGACTTCTTCTTAATAGGGTACACCCAACATCTCCTGGAGTAGTCATCAATAAATGAGACAAAGTATTTTGCTCCACCTAGGGATGTAATTGGTGCTTGCCATACGTCAGAGTGAACCAATTCTAGAACACTTTTGCCTCTAGAATTTGATTTGTTGAATTTCAACCGGTGCTGCTTACTTGTTATGCACTGGTCACACAAAGAAAGTGTTACCTTTGTTAAGCCTGGAAGTAGGTTTTGCTCCACAAGGACTTTCATTCCTTGTTCTAACATGTGTCCAAGTTTCTGATGCCATAGCATTGCAGAATCTGAACTACATGAGGCAACAGAGGATTCTGCTTTTAGCAAAGTCTTTCCCTTCAGCATATACAAGTTTGCTGCTATCTTTTTGCCTTTCAGCACCACAAGCGCTCCACGAAACACCTTCATAATTCCATTCTATGTTTCAATCTTGCTTGCATTATTATCCAACAATCCGTAGGATAATAAATTTTTCTTCAGGCCTTTCACGTGTCGCATATCTCGAACAACTTTAATTGTTCCATCATATATCTTTAATTTGATGGTTCCAACGCCAATGATCTCTAAGGCATGATCATTGCAACTATACACAGATCCTCTTGAGACAGGTTCATAATGATGAAACCATTCTCTTCTTGAGTTCATGTGATACGTTGCTCCCGAATCAATGAGCCATATATCTGCATATCTCTTTCTGCCTTCCACGGTGGTTGACGCTTCACAACATAGAGCATCTCCATCATCTGAAGTGTTTGCGGTATTGCCTTGTGGATTGAAGTTTTTATTTAGACTCCAACAATCCTTCTTCAAGTGACCCTTCTTTCCACAGTTGTAGCACTTTAAATTCTTCTTGCTTCTCGACTTCGATCTACCATGTTTGTGACTGCTGCTTTGGCCACGTTCTGTTGATCTCTCTCTCATCGTTGTCAACGCTTCTGCTTGTTGCAAATTTACTTGTCTGTCTTTCTTATTCTTGCGCCGATTTTCTTCTTGTAGAATAGCAACTGCAACGTCATCGAATACTAGACTGGTGACATTACTGTTTGTCAAGTTGATGATGAGTTGATCATACGAATCAGGTAGACTTTGAAGTAGAAGTTCAGCACGTTCTTGTTCTCCTATTTTACAGCTTAAGGATGTAAGCTGAGAAAATAAAGTGTTAAGTGTATTTAAGTGCTCCGTCACTGAAGTAGATTTTGGCATCCGGAGAGTGTACAATTTTCTCTTAAGGAAAATTTTATTGTGCAGCGATGTGGCATCGTACAGTTTGGTGAGATGATCACATGTCTCCTTAGCTGTCTTCTTCTCCTCGATGTTTGACAATACTTCATCTGCTAATGCTAGATGAAAGTTTGTCATAGCATTCCCGTCCATTTCGATCCATTTGTTGCCATCTGTGAAATCCACCGGCCTTTCACTGATAACTGCTAGACAACCGTCTTTCCTCAGGATGACCTTCATCTTCAATTTCCACAATGAGAAATTTCTCTCATTGAATTTTTCAATATCAAATTTTATTCCCATAGCTTCTATTACGGATAGCTCCCACTATTTCACTATCGTGAATAGTTCTCTGGAACCTTCAAAGAATGGGTAATAACTTCTTACTTTCTTATGTTGGAGGATTCACCTTTTGGTGGCAACCACAAAGACAATAAGCAGATATTACACACTCAAATCTGGCTCTGATACCAATTGTTGCGGAAGACGGCTATCAGATAAAGCAAAATCGCAACTGATAATTTGAGAAAATAAAAATGAAGATAAAATATACACAAAATTTACGTGGAAAACTCCTAAATAATGCAGGGTAAAAACCACGGACAACGGTAGAAGAATTTCACTATGAGAAAATAGGAATTTCAACTTCTCTCGATCTACCAAGGAGAAAACAATGATAATTATCTCTTGATAAATAGGAGAAAACAACTCTCAAGAAACTCTCTAAATTCTCTCTAGTATTGGAAGAAAGCTAGAATGCTTTGGGATGATTTTGAAGATAAATGAACTAGGGTATTTATAGTTGAAACTTAATGACTAATCTTGTAAATATCCTAAAGTCTAATGGCTAAATTTTGTAATTTTACCACTTTAAAATTCAACATTTCCTGCACCTAATTTTTGACAATTAATTTTGTTACTTTCGGTGGATTTGTTTTCCACATTTTCGGTGGATTGTCAACACCTTAATGGAGAGATGAGGAGCCTTCTTCTTATTTCCTGTCGTGCGTGAGGTTGGTCTACAGAACTTTCAAATTTTGGAGAAATTCAAATTAAAAGTTAAGGTATTTTAGTTAGGTTAGTGAGTTAATTATTTATTGGGTTTAGAGGTTATGTATGTTTTAAAAGTCTAATTTTTATCAAATTTTTGAATAACTTGAAATTAGAATTTAGTCGATTCATATCTGATTTGATTATCTGATATTTTCCGGATATTCAATATGAATTATCCGCACACACAAAAAAAACAGAATTGAATTATCCGCAATTTTGAGTAATAGTTATTGGGTTATGAATGAAAATAGTTTTTACCGTGTAAAAAAATTGAAAATCAAAGATTATATGTAAACCTAAAAATTAACAAACGGTTAAACTAATAGTTGTTAACACAATAAAAATTATTAATACACGTGGCTATATACAAGATGTATATACATTATATGTAATTTTTCGAACACGTGACTACACATCTATTTAAAATCATTAATAATGTATATACATCTTGCAGATATAATTTTTCGAACTCGAAATATTTACGTAAATAATACTCCCTTTTATTATTGGAGATGTTTAATGGATCCAAAATTTAATATCAATGTTCGTATGTTGACCAAGTTTACGATATTTCAAGTGGTAAATTCAATTGGGCTTGAAATTGTAGTTTCTGCATATAAATTCTATTTTAAGTTTATGTTTATAAATGTTGTTACGTCAAGTTTTACCATTTCTCATGCACGTAATAAATCAATCGACCAGCTTTTTCTTGTTTAATTCAACAAGGTTGAGCCTTGTTTTCTCATAAAGCAGTTATGATAATCGAAAAAATAACCATGAGTGAAATAAAAAGATTTAAAACAAAAATATTAAAATAAGATTTATTTGAAAAATCTTAAAATGAAAAAAAATCATGGATAGAGAAGATAAAATTTGTTTTAATATTTAAAATAAAATGATTTGCAATTACAATGCCTCATTCGGATTATAAAGTTTCGTCTTACAATAACTTTAAATCATATTATTTATTTGTAGAATTAATTACTTGGTAAGAAATAAATCTAATATTATAAAGAATCTTATTTAATACAAATTATTACTTTCAATTAAAAGTTATCATAAGAAATAGAGTCATGAGAGCCTCTACGTTCACGACATATATCTTTTTTTTCTGTCAATATATTTTTTCCACTAAATAGATCGGATCACAAATTGTTCAGATTGAATAAAAAAAATTTGGGTCATAAACTCTAACAACATCCATATCTTTTTCTAAGAAGCCTGTTATGCTACGCCAATGAAGCCTGACCAAGGAAAATATAGAATCTCAAACTCTATGTATTCCATATTTACATGGAATCAATGCTTTAGCAGTCTTGTTATTAGCTAAATGCTAGGCTGTTGAAGATGTAGACTCTTGAATATTGAGCAAGCTTGCGTTAAAACAAGGATTGCATTATTTGGTTCAACCCCATCTACCAAATCTCTCCCTGTCTTAATCTCTGTAGGCTCAACACTTTTTTTTTTTTAGCGAAAAGCTTTGCTTAAGTCTTAAACATCACTCATCAAAGAAACTATTGGTGTTGTAGCTCTTCTACTTCCTGTATCTTTTGGCAATGCATGAATAGATCGTTTTACTTTGAAATGCGTTCTGTTATTACTTTAGATTTTTTTTTTTTTGATAAGTTTGATTCCATTTATCCAATTCGTTTAGATTTACAGTCATTGATGTCTAACTTTTGGGGTTAATGAATGCTTAAATCATATGAAGATTTATTACACTACTATGCCTATGGAGGTCCACATGCAAAACTCGATTTCAATATAAAGTTTGCTTTTTTTAAGGCCAATCACAATAAAATATTATATGTGGATTGTCTTTGCGAGCATGCTTCTGTTCTACTCCACTAAACAAGCGTTCTTGATCACCAAATATGCTAACTACCATTATCAATAGTAACAACTCCAATTTATAGTCTCTTATTCCTTGCTATAAATAGCACATATTTTCCCTATCAAAGATGCATGGGTAATCAGTTAATCTGCAAATTTAATCGTTAATTCCACAATTTGTTTCAACATGGCAGCCGTGGTTGCAGTACTAGCTTTCGTCTTTCTCTCTATGTTTCCAATTTCATCTCATGTCAGAGCACTGAGCTCGAACTACTATGACCACTCCTGTCCTCACCTCGAGTCCATTGTTGGGAGTGCTGTGAAGAAAGCGGTGTCGAGTGACAAAACCGTTCCAGCTGCGCTACTTCGAATGCACTTCCACGATTGCTTCATCAGAGTATGAACTTACACTAGTGCCAGTATTTATTAAACATGCATAAAGAACGGTAATACTAGAAGCTTGTTCAGATATAACTTACATTATGCTTTTGTTCTAATTATAAGGGCTGCGATGCTTCGGTGTTGCTGAACTCCAAAGACAAAAACAAGGCAGAGAAAGATGGACCTCCTAACATTTCTTTGCACGCATTTTATGTCATCGACGAGGCAAAGAAGGCTTTGGAAGCTTCATGCCCCGGCATCGTTTCTTGTGCTGATATCTTGGCCCTGGCTGCCAGGGATGCAGTTGCTCTGGTTAGTCACATTAACATTGGTAGTATTTGCCGATCACCACTTATGTAATGGATTTCTATATACTAATTACTAATCCGACTCGCTTTGTTTTCTCGCTATAGTCGGGCGGTCCAACGTGGGATGTGCCTAAAGGAAGGAAGGATGGAAGAATTTCCTTGGCAACTGAGACTAGACAGTTACCAGCTCCCACATTCAATATCTCCCAGCTACAACAGAACTTTGCTCAGAGAGGTCTCTCCATTGAAGATCTAGTTGCTCTCTCAGGTATATATCGTCCAACAACTTGGGACATGTCCTATAAAGTTGCTACTATTAATCTTGAAGCACTTACCATGTTGTAAATGAATGTAGGTGGTCACACACTGGGATTCTCCCACTGTTCTTCATTCCAAAACAGGATCCACAATTTCAATGCCACCCTCGATGTCGACCCAACGATGCAACTGTCTTTCGAGGCCAGGTTAAGGAGCGTGTGTCCCGCACATAACAAGGTAAAAAATGCAGGGTCACCGCTGGATTCTACCAACTTCGTATTTGACAACGCATACTACAAGTTGCTTCTCCAGGGGAAGAGCATCTTCTCTTCGGATCAAGCTTTACTCACTTCCCCAAAAACCAAAACATTGGTTTCGAAATTTGCGAGCTCCCAAAAGGCTTTTGAGAAGGCTTTCGTTGATTCCATGATCAAAATGAGTAGCCTCACCGGTGGCCAAGAGATCAGGCTAGACTGCAGAGTCGTTGGGTGATTTTGAAGTATGAATTGCCTTCCGTCGAAGTGGACGGGCAGGAATTTGTAGTCGTGTATCGTGTGATTTAATGATTGAAATGAAAGCAGTGCTGTGTTTGGTTCTTTGATTGACCCGACCACCCTACATATCATTTCTTGCTTCTATAAAATTAACATTTAAAAGTACATAACTAAATAGTGTTGAATAAATGAGATGAGCAATCCATAAACTAGGGTTGATTCATCTGTAAATGCACATATCAACTTTTTCCCGTCATAAAAATGGATTCATACCAACTGTCGATTATACAAAGAATATCAGTTTTAGTAAAAAAAAAAATCATTTGGTTTAGTCCAGTTCAATTCGTGTGTTTCTCTAAGACAATTTTATTGGTAAAAATATTTTATTTAAATTTACCAGCCATTACAAAATATTAAAAATGTTTTATCGTCATTAAATTATGTTTATGACATTTAATTATTTTTGTAACCGCAATAAACGTTTTATATTGTTATCATAGAATTACTTCTAAAAGATACAATTATCAGAGTAATTTCTTCATTACCTTCTCTAATCCCTTATTTAAAATCTCTTTCTTTTCTTTTTTTAGTATTATTCTTCAAACATCGAATTATAATCAGGGAGAAATATTTTCAATACCAATCTAAAAGATACAACCATAATTTGATTTATTTTTGTTCCATTTTTAGCACTATTGTTTTATTTTGCGACAGTTTATACAAAATCAATTGCTACAGAAACATGAGTTTTGAGACATTAAGTTGATTCGATATTCAATCATGTCTGGTGCGTTTTCTTTTATGTCGCATTTTATGGTTAGAGATCATAATGCCCCTAATTATTTTATGTGAATTGATAATCGATATTATATTTTTATAACATACATTTTGTTGTGTGTATTATGTGGTGAAACACTATGTTGATGACAATGTCGTATAACTGATCTTTTTTCAGAATAATCGATATTATATGACATATTTTGAAATAAATTTTTATTTAGTATTATTTTATAAAGCATGAATTCAATAGATTTAATACGTTTTATACGTGGCTTTGAAACACATCATGATAGACATTGATAGGTTTTAAATTTATATTAATAAAATTTTAGAAAGATTTCATAAAAGATCATTCACCTAATTGTTTTTTCTTATCGCGAAAGATGATAATTCCGATTTAAATTAATATCTAAAGAATGATCTTGAGATAAAGAAAATGATAAACATTTCATATACTACTTTGACTTGGGCATATTCAAATCTGTACAAGACTCGACATCGCATTTGTAATTAAAATGTTGAAAAGATGTCAAAGAATTTAGGTATTGGCCACTAGAGAAATGCAAATGCTTATGTACAAACGATCAGAAAATTTGTAGGCGATTAACTAGTATGATTCTAATTGTATTAGTTCAAAAAAAGTTAACATCAAATTACATATTTATATTTGCTAACAAAGTTATATCTTGGAGGAATGTCAAGAAGATCTTAATTGCTACTTCCACGATGAAGGTTGAATTCGTTTTATGTTTTGAGACTACCTCACATGAAATATGGTTGAAGAGATTAGATTTTAGGTCATAAAAGAAACATTGTGACAATACAATTGGTATCTTTATAGTTGAGAACAGCAAAAGTAGAATTCAAAGTAAATATTTTTGAAATTAAGTATCTAGACAAAAGAGAACGTGTTAAAGAAAAGAAAGTGATCGTTAAGCAATTAACATTAAAAAAATTTAACTCAAGACATACTACTATAAATATAAGAATCATGTTGTCACTAAGATTTATTCATGCTTTATAAATTTTCATCGTAAGGAATATTATAATAAAATTCTATTGTATTTAATGTTTATCATATTTTGTTTGTGTGCACATTAATTTGATTATTTTGAGAATTATAACTAAATTTAGATCTCAATCAAATCATGTCTTGTGTTTGTTACTTTCCATGAGTAATATGCAAACATTTACTCACCATTCATTTAGCAAGTTTGATGGTTTCTTTTAGACATCACATGCTTATTCCCTCTTTACTGGATAATGAAGGTTGAAGACAAGGTAAGCCATCAGTAGGGGGATGACAGAAAATAATCTCCCTAATGAGTAGCAACAAGCTGATTGTTATCCTTCCCACTGCATTCACTTAAAGCTCCTATTAGTTATAAGTTCATATCTCAATTGGCGATAATTTATTACATAGTAAGCCGAGGGCAGATAGATCAACTGGCCGCTTGTGCAATGCAGATAGGCTCGGGTGCAACCTCGGGTCCGGACTGCTCGCTGCCGATAGATTGGCGTTTATCATCGAATCCCCACAAAGTAGCAGATTTGGTATCATCCTGGACCATTTGCTTGGAGAACTCTTCATGATTGTACTCCAATATGGCCTTTCCTCCAAATTCTGTTGGTAGATTTTCCTTGTCAAAATATGAGCTCATGAGCTCCACACTGTCTGTGTTCTTAGGGTACACAAACTTCACCTTTTGGAAGGTTTTGGCATCTAGAAAATACTTAACAATCTGCAGAAATGAAAGCAAAACAAGCTGGTTAAACTTCTATCAGATTAACTCATCCTACTGTCAAGTTTGACCTGAACATGGAAACCCGATTTGACCATAAAAATTGGGGACTCTCTACCTGCCCAGACTGAACCTGAAAATGACCTGAATTTGAGCGTCAAACATGAATAACAAAACTCAAAATAACCCAAACTTAACCTCCAAGTTGAAGTCTAAATCTGCCAGAACAGCAAGTTATAATGCAACTGTAAATGTAAATGCACTGATGTTATCTCGTTTAGCTTTGCAAGCCAGCTATTCACATTGCTTAACCATTACTAAACATTTAGTCATTTACTGATGCTCAACAAGTAAGAATCCAAATGTAATAACAACGCATTTAGAATTCAAACCTTCCAGAATGCTTCGAAAATTCTCGGGGGATTGTAGAGAAATGCCATAGCCAGCCTCTCAGGGTAGTGGTTTTGTAATACATTAATGGTGTCGCGAGCAGACTTGATAGGAACACTCGTGCTCAAGCTCCAGCCAGTGAAATCTATCAACCATACCATCTGTTGTTGACCCTCAGGAAGGTTTAGGATAGCATTCTCTATCATATACACCAAATGGCGGAACTGATTGTCCAAGGATGTAGTGTTCTGCAACATTCCTGGTCATGTTAGTTTCGGAAAGTTACAATAACTGAAGCGATTTTTGTAAATTTGTCAATTAGGCATCAGAACAAATTGAGATTTAAAATTTTCAAGCCATTTGGATTGCTTAGTGTTTACATTGTTTCAGGTTCATATAATTTGAATTTGTCGGATTTCACTTGGTCATTTCGGATTTGACAGATTCGGTTGTTGACTCCTATGATTAAATTTGGTTGAATCAAATTCAGATAATCAAATTTTCTTTTCGAGTTCAGATTAGAATTGACAAGTCTAGATTTTAGTTTTGATTTAACTAAACCTATTTACCTGCTTTCCTGGTCGCAATATAAGAACAGTCCTACCATCACGGTCGTGAAAATTCGCTCGATATACTTTTCCAGTCTCACCTTCTACGGCAATTTCATCCTGACAACAAAATGTCAACTAATCACCACCATTAACTCCCTTTTTCTGAACATTCAAATGAAGAAAAATATGTTACCCAACGTATTTCCTCAGGCTTATAGGTCGATCTCCATTTGAGTGTCTCTTCCAGCATTTTCTTCGATTTATCAACATTCCAGTTTCGTGCCTCCAAGTATCTCCTCAGGCAGGCATCAGTGCAATACTTCAAACTGCGACCAGCTAGTGGTCCGATTGCAGCTCTAAGCTCCTTAACCTGCTTGTATTTCCCATGTAAATGCAAATGTTAATCAGAAAACAAACAGAATCTAAAGAGAGAATAAATCAAATTTTCAAAGATATTACTAACTAGTAGGAGCAGCAAAGGGAGATTTAAGTAGACAAACACGAAACAGAGATTTGACCATATCCTTAAACAATCACTAATAGTTCCAACTTTATTACCTTGGATTCATGCTGCAATGAATCATTCTCTTGGCTGTGGTGGGAATTGCTCCATCTACTAAACATTGTGACTGAATAGAATCTAGCAACCTAGTGCAACCTGCAAAATATTGGACGACAGTAAATCGGACTCGAAATTCATAACTAATCAAGTTAAATGGCTAGTAATCTGGCTTTTAGACTAAGCATCGATGCAAGAGTCAAGAAACCAGTTCCTATACGCCTCAACCCTCAAAGAAGACCAGACAATAAACAAGTAGACAAAAAAATTACATCCAATGGAGCACCAAAATAGAGAAACAAACATGATTTAGATCAAGAATTTCAGGGTAATATGCAATCAAAATCAAATAAAAGTAAACTTTTACCAAGGGCCTTCAAATCAAGCCGTTAATGAACCTGCATCACTAGGATCAACGGTGAGTTACTGCTGCAGCTATGTCATGTCATTTCATACAAGAATCCTGTAAAGATAACATACCTATGGAATACAGATGAATCCTGGGACATAAAGTAGCATAAGACCTGAAAAGGATCACCTGGTTTCATTTCATTACATCATATTAGCATTAGATTTACAAGCAGTAGTTTCACATAAGAAGAGCAGGAACAGTAAAACCAGATCACACGATTTGCAAGTTTAAATCAACGGAAGAGTCATGATTCAACAACTGCTAAAACTTTCCAACTACTAAGAACAGAAGCGTGTTCTAAATAGATGGAAAAAATAAAAAAGGGGGTATAGGATTCTTTTATTCAACGACGCCATTATTAAGGGAGAAGGATCAATGCATTTTAAACTAATACTAGGGTCACTCCGTAGACCGTAGTACCACTAGTTTGACCAAGCGTTGTGCGTGTTCAATTAACAACTTTGAATTCTTATCATTTCTCATTTTTTTATGTTTGTACGAAAATACATAGAATTCAACTCGGAGACACCATAAAATACCCCAAAAGGCTTCTGCATTCTTAAAAAATCTCCAGAACTGGGATCTAAGAATTCAGTAAAAAGAAAAACAACCAATATACAAATATGATCAAAACACAAAAAAGGGTATTAAAAGAAACCCTAAAGTTGCGCTCATCAAGAGATGTTTCCAGGGTTTGACGTCTTAAAAAAGATAGAAGAAAACATACCTCCTTGGGTCCGGCCTGAGGAAATAACAAGAGCAAAGACTGTTAAAAAAAGGGTTAAGAGACAACAAAGAAGAAGGGAAGAGAAGAGGGTAGATCAGTTTTGATTCTTGATCACGAAAGTGGCATAAAATTCTACAACACGAAGAGACCAGCCGCTAACAAAAGGAAAGATTGAAAGCGAAAAAGACGAGCTTTGGGGGTATAGGGGAATAGGGAGTTGGTGGGATGGCTTTATGGTTTGGGTCCATTAGATATTTTCAAAGTGGTAGGGAAAGGAGCACGGTTTTCGTGGTATCGGGTGACTTGGTCGGTTTATAATGGCTTTAGAGCTGTTCAGACAGGTGGTACGGCCGCATGTTGTTGTCGTCTTTATGACAAATTGCAGAGGATCTGGTTTCCAATTTTGCAGTAAGGAAAATTCATTTTCTTTTTAGGTGTTCCTTCCACTTTTGTTACACTTGTATTAAATCGTGAAATCCTCATGGTTTCCAATTTGGAATTGTAAAGATATAATGCAAATTATATCACTGCAAACTCACAAAAGTGGATGGAAAAATATATATATGATATATGTTTTTAGAAATCATAAATTACATGTTTAGTATATAAACTATTACTTTTGTTTTATTTAAGTACCTAAATTTTATTTTATTTTTAAATTATATCTAACGTTTAGTTTAAGTTTCATTTTGATATCACGCCGTTAAAATTTTAGCGACAACGATGAGGTTGAATTATTTTCCATTTTTTGATATTCCACATGTCATGTAATGTAAATTCCACATCATCGGTTCGGTTAATTTTTTAAAAACGAGTACTAAATTAAAACATAAACTAAATGTTATGTATGATTTAAAAAAAAAATTAGATATAAAATTGAATAAAAATAATAATTTAGGTATTAAATATGTAATTTATCTAAAAAAGTAATAATTCGTATACAAAAAGTGTTAGTAGTCTGCTTTCCATAAATTAGTTATTTTAAAGAAATTGTTTTTAAAAAGTTACACAACAAAATTTTAAAAGAAAATATTATCTATATAGTACTATCTAATAATATATAAAATTAAATAATAAATATTTATTTATGCATTTATAAAAATGATAATTATAATAAAGAAAAATACATGGTAGAAACCAGTTAAAGTAATTGGAATTGGAATACTTTTAGAGTGAAAATAAGAGAAATGAGAATTTTTCTTTTTATGGAAATAGGAAAATGAGTTAACAAGGAAGGTAGTTTTATTATCTAAAAGGGTAAATATTTTTTCTAATATTTAATTGTAGTATTTATGTATAATATGATATTCAATTTTTTATATAATTACATATTTGATTTTTTTAATGGTACAATTAGATTCCTAATTTTTTTCGTGCAAATAGATAATCAACTTTTTTATACAACATATTAGCTAATATTTTTTTTTAAAAAAATTACATGAGTCCATAATTAGAATTTTAAAGTCTTTCAAATCTCTATTACGTATTATCTTTTAAACCAAAAAGAGTTAAAATTATAAGTATGGACAAATAAAAATATATGTGTAATTAAAAACTATTAGATACTTAAATGTACTAAAAAATTTAAGTATCACATTACAAATGAATGTCAAAGATAGATATCCAAATTATATTTACCCTTATGTCAAAAAAAATTACATTTACCCTATCTAAAATGTGAATTTATTTGAGTGACACCAAACGTAGCTAAGAACATTATAGTATAAATTTTCTAACCAAGTCGGGGTCACTTAGTGAAACTAAACTTGTTAGTGTTTATTTAAAATTTGTAACTCAAATTTCATTTAAAATCGAATAGAATTATACTCCTATTATTAGACATTGATTTAAAGTAAAATATATATATTAATTTGCGCAGATATTCTTTATGTAAGATTTTTTTTGTAATTAAGTATTTTTTTCTATAAATAGATAGTAGGGGTTAGAGTTAAAACTTAAGTCGTTTTCGCAAATCCTTTTGTATTCTTATAATTTGATATTATTGAATTTTTTTTTGTCTTTGGTTTTATTTGTTTAGGATTTTTTACTTAAAATTTTAGGATCCCTTTTATTGTGCGATCATTATACTTTTCGCTATCTTATAACAAATTGATCTCAAAGTATTCTAGTTGCTTGTTTCAATAACAATAATGTCATCCTCAAAGTATGAAATTTCGTTGTTGAATCGTAACACCAAATTTGTATTGTGGAAGATGAAGATGCGGACAATTATAGCGTAGATGAATTTGGATGATGTCTAGCTAGAGTTAGATAAAATGCCTTCGACATTAAAGCTTAAAGAAAAGTAGTGTAAAGAACAAAATACCCTATCATAATTACATATGCATCTTTTGGATGAAATTCTACAAGACATATTAAATGAGAAGATCATTGTTGCGTTGTGTTTGAAGTTAGAGCAATTATGTAATACTCCAAATTTTGGTTAGTGACTGAAATGTAAGTTTTGAAAGTTTAGTGATGAAAGCATAAAATTGGGAAACGTTCAGGGACCTAAGTGGTAATTTTTCCAAAAAAAGAATTTTTATTCCATAAATAGATAGTTTTCTTTTGAGAGTGGGGTTTTATTAAAATCATATTATTGATCCGAAATTTATGTTGAAAACTAGAAAGGGTTAAAGTATGATTAGAGATCAATAAATCGGATCAAATAGAAATTTTGAGAAAATTTAAAGGATGCTAAATTATGCTTGAAAATATTTTTTCCACATTTTAAAATGATGGAAAATAATATAAACCATTGGATTTAAGGATTTAATTCCATGTTAAATTTGGATTGTTGAATTAAAGTGGCAAGATTGCAATTTTTGGAAAGTTGCATGGACAAAATGGTAAAGGGTTAAATAATTTGTTCATCTTTGACTTTCGGAAGATGATAAGGTTGATTTGAATTGGTTTGATGGTAGTTATAAAGTTTCATTAAGGGTAAAATGATCTTTTCTCAATTAAATGAATTTAATATTCATTTAAGCTTAAATAAAGATAAATTAACATGAAATTAAGTTTAAAAATTTCATGAAACTTAAGTGAACACCTTAATCTAATTCGTGAGACAATCAAACAAAAAGACAAGGAAAAAGTTACAGAATAGTTGGACTACAGTAAGGCATAATAGTGAGGCATACCAGGTAATTAAATATAATCGGAGTAAGGAGTGCAACTGACATCGTAAATCAAAGGTTGCCTCATCAGTAACTATATGACATCTATGTCTACTTTTGATATAAATAGATGGCATGTAATAGATATATGATGATATTTTGATATGTATTTGACATATGAGTTGTAGTATTTACACGTTCGAACTTTAAGGTTTTTTTACATACTAGTAGTTAATGAATGTTTTTATTATTATTATATTAAAATGTTTTATTTAAAGATTTTACTGGTTTTCAAGGAAGAAAATGTTTTGAAAGTTATGTGACATCTGTGACTCGTGTACGGGGACGTAAACGGGAAATGGGTGTTACAAATTATACATGAAAAAAATCTTAACCAACAAGTTGCATTTGAAACAGTCTTTTTTCTTGTTGTTTGGTTGAACGTACATCCTTGGTGGATCAATTAACTATCTTTAAAGAAATTGTCTCATATTTGGAAACCGTGGAAGTTAAGTATGATAAAAAGGATCTAAGATTAATTTTGCTTCATTGTTACCCCTTCTTATTTGAGCTTTAAAGATACAATTTTTTATAATCGTTAACCTCTTACCTCTCACAATAGATGAAGTTTATAATTCATTAGACTTGTATGAGAAGATGACACATTTTATTGCTGGATCTGACTCTCTAGGAGAGGATCTCAATGTTTGTTAGAGGACTCAGGTGAAAAGTTCTAGCAATGATGTCAAGATTATGTAAAAATTCAAGAACACGAGAAAAAAATACTATTATTACAAGAAAATAAGACATAATACAATCGATACAGTGCAAAGTGATCAAAGGGATGTTACATATCACAAAACTAGACAATTTCATATTGACAAATATAATAGAAGACTAAGATGTTAGTGATTTTTTAGTTACTTCTGGTGAAGACTACAACAAGGAAAGAGTGGATTCTTCACTAGTAACCATTTTTATATGAATCACAATCGGGAATGATTTGCAACTTATAAAATTATATGTGTATGTGTTGTTTTTTTAGTAATGTGAGACATGTTCTAGATTTGAGAAGAAATCTGATCTCGTTAGATACTCTATATTCAAAATGATACAAATAGTTCAATGAAGGTAAATGATGTGAAAATCTGTAAGAGTTTTCTCCTTGTGATGAAAGCACAAAGAAAGATTGTCAAGTTTTATGTTCTATAAGGTTAAACAATTTTAAATGATGTAACTATTGTTTTCTTCTCTATGTCAGACGACAACATTACTGGTGAAAACATCTTGACTGGATCAAACAAAGAGGATTTTATTTTAAACAATACAATTGTTGACATAATAGTTATGAGAAGAAGAAAAGAGTTCAAGTTCGTGTGTGCATCAAATTTGAGAAGAAGAAAGTTCATTCACCATAATGATAAATAACACAAAATGTATAATTTATATTGGTGATCAAGATGTTATTGTACATGATATAAACGTGGTGAAACAGTTATAAATAAAGTTGACACTTGTGATGATCTTAACAATATGAAGACTAAGTAGTCTAGTACATCTAAACTTGAACAAGACTTATCTTAACAATGTGAAGACTAAGTAGTCTCGTACATCTAAACTTGAAAAGACTTGAATTCAATTAGTAATATTGTGGATTAATATTGTTTAAGGAGTTTCGTAGAATAGATAGAGAACTTGTTCGTCAAAGAAAAGAAAATGTTCTCAAGGTGAACTTGTTCATCTAATTTATTTATTTTTCTTGAACTCCTTGCACTTTCGAAATTCATGTCAAATCGAGATTGTTAGAGTTTTATTATAATTTTATGACTCAAATTTTGTTTGAATCCGAATATAACTATACTTCTACTATATGTTAATTAAAAGTGAAAAACCTAATTTGAGTAGATCTTTCATGTAAGTTCTCTGTGTAGATTTTTTATGTAAGTTCTCTGTGTAATCAAGTACTTATCTCGATAAATCGATATGAGAGATTAAAGTTAGAATTTACATCATTTTCACAAATCTATTTGTAATTCTTTTCTATCTATAATAGTGAAATTTCTTCTTCTTTGTCTATGATTTTTTCTATTTAATATTTTTTACGTAAAATCTTAATATTTCTT